GGGGGGGGGAGACAGCATCTATATTACAACACCTGAACAGTAGTTTTCATGATTCAAAAAGTAGCACTAGCATGAAACGGAACTAGAAGAAACCGCTTTAGGAAAGTTGATCCAGTTATAATACCAAGAGGAAGCCAAAAGTGCTGTCAAATTCAAATTGCTTGTTTTGCATTATTTACTGGTGTTTTCAGTTATATTTTTTACTTAAATCCTTTTGGTACATTTCGTTAGTTTCAGCTCACTCCTAGATGTGGATTATTCTTTCCTAGTAGCAGATAAAAAGCCAGTCACCAGTACACAAAGGCTACAGAACCACCATCATTAGAAAAGATTAGAAAACATTTCCCAGTGATGAGAGTCCAGGGGAAATCTTTAAAGAGAGCCATTTGTCGTCTCTTGACAATTGCTGTCTCGAGCCACAAGAGAATAATGATCAGCTGACAGACAGGTTGACAGGTTTTACCCTTGTAGAAACCTGTAGCAGGTGAAATCACTCCCGCGAGATAGCGGCACTCACCAGCTGCGCTTGTTGTCGAAGAAGAGGACGAGGTAGAGTTTCTCTTCGGCTTTGTACTGCATCTGTTCTCCAATGCGGAGCACGTCCATGGGGGGCATGGGGATGGACACCCCGTTGTGCTGGCAGCCTACACGTGGCATGTGGGGGTCGATGATCTACACAGAGGCGAGAGGGGAGTTAGACACTTGTGCTTATTGAATGCAAGTGCAAGGCAAACATACATTAACCCAGAGAATCACTCAAGCATATAGTAAAGATGTCTATACTGCATACACACGCATACAAATGCATGCACACTGCCAGCTTGTGGCAATAAGATTCTTTTTCCTCATTTGTCCTTTCATGCTAAGGTCAAATTAAAGTGGTTAACAGTGAAAGGCTGCCACCTAGAGGAAAAAAATGACATAAAAACTGGGCTTTTCCCCCCCGAAACTGTCCACTAGACACCAAAAAGAACAGCTGTAGTAAAACTACTGCTTCATCCTGTGGGACAAGAGTGTCATAATTAGGTTCCAATGTGTCCCAATGTGTCCCAATGTGAAGAGATGACAAAGAAACATCAGAGTAAAAAGACTACTCAGTGATGGTCATGCTTTCTTTCCCACAAACACTCACCAAGGCAGGGTAGGAAGGGTATCCACTACATTTGGCCCAAACTAGCTTTAGGGGTTCCAATGCAACTGTTGCAGCACTAGCGGGCATCCAAATATTGCTGTTGCCAACCTCTATGGAAGCGGGAACAACACCAAACAAGTTATGTGTGGGTTTAAACACAGACAGAAACACATTTCCAAAGCCGTGCTTTGCCAAGTGCAGGAGTACACAGGGTGGGAAATTAACTTTTCCCCTTTAAGAGCCACAAGTGAACGACAGATATTAAAACCTACCAGCCACTTTAAGCAATTTATTAGCCAAATATGAATTTTAGATGAGGGAAGAGCCTCCAGATGCTTACTGGTTTCATGCCATGATGGCAGGCAGAGTGTAAAGACTCACCGGTCAGTGCCAGAAGTCACAAGAAGCTGGCTGGTAGCTGCTGTTAATTTCCAACCCTGCTTTTTTATGTGTGTATGAATACCAGGTGTCTGCAAGTTATAGTTACAGGCTACACTGATTGTGAAACTAGAATTACATTTATGGCCAATTCTCCAGTTGAACAGGAAAAGTAAACTCTGCACCTTTTATAGTTTTCATGACATAATTTAAGACATTTTAAGATTTTAGAGGAGAGGCTGATATTCTAAAAGAAATTGCAACACATAGTATTAAGTATATTTGACCATTTCTTCTATTAATTGGCAGTCCAGCTGGGTTTTACTGATGTTAAACTGTTACTGTTTTCTCTTATAAAATGTTTGCTTTGATAAAGTGAATTGTTTTAAATGTGTCAAATTGCCTGCCTAGATACATGTCTTGCAAAACATGTTTACTGTATGAGTTGTCTGTATCAACCTAAAAATAAGTGAAGCATTAAAGTTTCATAAAATCAACTAAATATCAATATTTGACTGTATATTGATTTGCAATGGTGAATAAAATAGGTAATCTGTATACCTAATGTTCACACACGCATGCAGATTATTTTTTGACATATAATGCAGCCAATTTACCGGCAGCGATTCGAGCAGCTTTTGCAAAATTGCCGGTTTCGATGCAGGCGATTAATTCGCTCTTATCGTCCACAGTGTTTCTCCGGACCAAGGCGGGTTTCCCCTTCCCACATTTTGGAAGACTGAGAATAGTGCTAGAAACAAAAAAACAGACACAGGAGTCACCATTAGAGACAGATCATCTGGAGATGATGACAGCTTGGACCAGTGTTGGACAACCAGCTAATTGAAAAATAGAAGGCCGGAAGAACAGACGGACCAGCTGGCATCGCCGTCTTTAGGCCCTGCTATTGAGTCAAATCAGAATAAAATGGCTAGACATGTTCTGGTGGATTACCTGGTGCTTCCTGGCAGGCTGCTACATGAGGAGATGGAGGACTCAGAGGCACAGCGTCTTCGTGGCTCCACAGGTCTACTGGCTCGACTGGAGTCTTCTAGCTCTTTCTCCTCTTCCACCTCCAGAAAACCGCTTGACAGGCCTGAGATACAACAACACAAAATCAGGTAAACACACATTACCAATGCTCTAAAACCAAAATCCCATGCAGCTCTTGTGGAATGTTACGGGTTGTTCAATCAACAGCTATTCTAATTTAAGCAAACTGGTGTAAAAGAGTAAACAAGTCTGTTGTGATGACTTGTAAGCGGCGTAACAGCTCATTGCGATGTTTGCACTGCCAGTTTCAGGGGTTGGCAGCAGACCTAAATACTGTTCTGCTAATTTAATCAGAGGCTTGAAGACGCCATTCAAAGTGGAACATACGGTAAATCGAAGAAATGTTTAGCCATGCAGAAAGTTGTGAAACTGCTCGAGACGGTGAAAATATTGACGGCGTTTATTTATTATTTTTTTAAATCACAGTAGTTAGTGATTTAAAGTTGGTTTTTTTAGCGTATTTCTCTGTACACTTCTTACCAGTGTCAAGTCGTTTCACAGGGGACTCCCCCTCCTCTTCATGCTCTCCCTCCTCTCCCTCCTCCTCCTCCTCGCCGTCTCTGCTTGCGCATGTGCTTCCTCTTCTTGCTGTGTAGGAGAGCGTCTCCAGCCTGGTATGGAACCACCGACAGGAAAGGATTTGGAGCCCAGCTGCGCCCCGTCCTCATCTTCCTCCTCCATGCCCTCTTTTGTTTCGACTCCGCGGCCCCCCTCGTCTCCGCCTCCTCTTGGGCTTGTGGGGCTGGCGGTCTTCGACTTGCGGAAGAGCACGGCGGTGCGGGGTTGACCGCGGCCCGGTGGGCTCGGCGAGGGTCCGACGTGCGACCACGCTCACGTCTCCGTCCAGCAAAGAGTTCTGGAGGCTGTCGTGGGAGTAGCCGTTGAGGTGGGGGGGGGAGGAGAGCAGGTCCGGTATTTCCCCGTCAAACTTGACTCGCTTGCTGAGAGTCTTGTCTTCGCAGTCCGGGGCGGCGTCGATCGGTTTGAGGGTGGGGGGCTCGGGGTCTGTGTCTGAGTGGATGAGGGGAGGGATGGAGTCTGAATGCTCCAGTTTGGGAGGAAGAGACTTGTCTCCTGTGGGGGAGAAGAAAAGAAAAAGCACACCAACAGTTCATAGTTGTAATTTTGACTATAGAGTCAACATTAATCATTCAAAGTGCCACCACTAAGTATAACATTATTCATGTTGTGGCACACAGGCTGTTTTTACAGTTACTGCCAACTCCTTCTTAGGTTTTATTACGTATATTAATGTATTTCCCTTTCTCTTTATCATCATTACTATTTCCTCAAGGTGCGGTAGAAATAAAGTATAATGTGTTTTTTGTGGTGAAGGATTAGCTACGCAAAACGACATCATGAAATCTTTGGAAGAACAACAACAACAAAAAAAAAAGCTATTCATAAAAAGTAAAAACATAAACAATATGACTAAATGACAAAGACAAGAAATATGACTTACAGAACAACACTATTACCAACAGTAATGCGCTGCAGCATCCGCACTTTGTCCTTGTGTTTGTAGAAATGCTGACACAGCACATTATCATATGGCTTTTGGGTTTATCATAAAAGTAAAACAAGGCGCTGTTTAGCATAACACTGAGGCACTTTTATAAATAAAAAATGAGAGCGAAATGACTTTTTCCCTTTCTCTTTCTCTTTCCCCCCCTAGCTCATTATAATGCTATCTATTCAGGGATCAGTTCCACAGAGAGATATAAGAATGCTGTACCAGTAACACTTTTTTTCCTCCGCTGCCAGAGCACAACCGTCACATCTATTTGATCTTAAAGTTGTCTGGTTCTGTGATTTGAAATTAGGAGTTGACTAAAGGTCTTGTGTGTCAGTGAGAACAAGTTTCAGTTTAACAATCAGTCACATGTGAGAGTTTGTGTGAATGATTGAGGAGAACTTTTCTTGTTTAAGTGAAATAAAACCTGCTGTTGCTCCACCGACAATGAACGGCTCATTCTCTGTCAAACACACATACTTATGTGTCGATGTTACTGAAAAATCTCATTAGCCATTAGCGAATACCATTAGCACTAATAATCCTATTAACATCCAGTGGTTTTATCAGTTAATAACATAATTAAGGTGGTTTGGGCTTTCTTGATTCTTGCTTTGGGAAATAAAGGTCAATGTTCACAATCAAAGGATCTGCTTTCCAGGATATTCTGTAGTGTTTTAGCAAATTTCCCCAAAACAGCAGACTGATGCTCACCTCACAATCTCTAATGGCTTGTTGAGTATGTGTTACAGTAACCTGATAATGTCGTTGTCTTCGAACCTGACATGTGAGAGGCAATTGAGAGGTCTGGAACCAGGCTAGCGTAAGACGCACTGGATTTGGGGAACAACATGTGACTTTGCTCTGCAGGGCTATGTTTTGGGTTGGGGGCTTATCTCTGACCTGCACTTCAGCATATTAAAGGACATGTGATTCTCCTTAAAAATGACAGAGGCTCGAGAGAAACCATTCTCATGAAGCCAAAGCTAAGATCAAACGTACCCTCGTCATCTGGAAAATGTCCATTGGGTTTCAATCTCTCTTCTTGCTTTTTATGCTCTGGGTGGGAGGCAGCTGATGAAGACAACGCTGATGTGGAGGGAGTTGTGGAGGAAGAAGAGTGGTGGTGGTGGTGGTGGTGGTGGTGGGAGGGATGGACTCTCTTTAGGCTCATTTCGTTGCGCACATCGTTGATGGTCTTTTTGAGGAGCTTTAGGCGCTTGCTGCGGGAGGGGCTGGACTTCATGGCACAGGTCAGGTCAAACTTCTCCAGTAGCTGCTGCAGCTGCTTTTCCTGAGAAAGATGCTCACGGTTGGCTGGCACTAGTAGGCGGTCCACTAAGGAGAGAATTAACTCATTAGGGAATAGGTGGAAACACATTTTATGAATATTTCTCATTCGTTTCACAGAGGCATGTGTGTTCGCTACTGCCCTTACCGTCTTCCCAAGAAAAGGATGGAGTCGCTTTGATTTCAGGAGCTTCGGGCAGATGCATGCCGCTCTCTGTGTCGAAGCCGATTCTCTCCACGTCTCGCCGGGCCTTTCTAAGCAGGGCCCCGCCCTGGTCTCGTAGGCGAATGGCAGCCCGGTAGAAATAGGTGTCCTTCGAGTTATATTTCATGCAATTATCAATAATGAGGGTGAAGTCGCTCTCAAACTGATCCAAGTTGTTGTAGCCCTGTGCATCGATGCGCTGCCGCATGGTGGAGAAGTCCATCGGGTGCTTGATGTGATCGAGGTAGTCTGGCACCTGCAGGAAACAGCGCAGATAATGAATGATTTGACCATATGACCCAGACCTTTCCTATCTGCCCTTCAGATTGACAGACTGACTCTTCTCTGTCCCTTAACAGTAGGCTAAAGGGGCTCATTTCTATCATATATTTAAGATAAACCCAACTTGTTTGGACTCCCTAATGATGAGCAATGGCAACATATACAAGACCTTGTGCGTCCTCTATATGCACAAGGCACAGTCTGCCACAGTTCATTTCACGCAACAGTACAGCAACATGCTTATAAAGTGCAGTGACAACATTTAACAACATGACAACAGCTAACCAATATATTTAATCATTTACTAGTAAGGTAATGGAGTGCAGAATAAAAAGCTGACGCCCAACGTGGGGCTCGAACCC